TTTTTTCGGTCTTGTCTCGTGCGGCAGCTTCCATTGGGATGATTGAGTTTTGGTTTCCACGTCATAACCATAAACCCATGATTCGTCACCAGTTATGACCCTCTGGAGCACATTTGGGTCGTCGCGGACAGAGTCCAACAGCTCCTTAGCAATGTTAATGCGATGCTGTTTTTGGTCGAAATTGAGCAATTTTGGTACGAATTTCGCGGCGACCCGTTTCATGCCCAAATCATTGGTAAAAATCGAATGGCATGAGCCAATCGATATGTTTAGGTCCTCAGCAATTTCTCTAACGGTGATTCGACGATTGGCCAATACTATTTTCTTCACTTCATCAATGTTTTCGTCTGTTGTTGACGTGCTCGGGCGTCCGGTACGCTCTTCGTCGTTCACATCTTCTCGGCCCTCTGAGAACATTTTGTACCACCGATAAACGTTGCTTCGGTCCAAGGTAGCTTCACCATATGCCACAGTCAACATTCGGAATGCGTCCGCGCACTTAATTTTGTTTTTCACACAAAATTTGATACAGATTCTTTGATCCATTTTTTGGAATAGGCAAAAATCGAAGACGAGCTAAAACACATCAAGCAAAGCAGCTGTCAAAAATTAACTGAACATTCAAAATGGCTGAACTTGTCGGCATAAGTGAGAGACATGAGTACCAACATAACGCCACAAAAAAATTGAAAATCGAATATACGAATATAACCAGCGGAAATTCAAAATTCGCGATACTTTTTGAACAGACCTCGTATATCAGGATTGTTGTTTAGAAAAGGAATCATACGTCCTTGCTGCATCGACGATGATGCCAGAATCGATAGAAATCATATTCTTGAATTGCAGAACGAATTATTGAAACAGAAGTACGACAGAGTGAGACAGAGCAAAAACAAAAAAGGATAGAAACTCGATTGTAATCGGTGAGACTCCGCACGCCGAGTTGGGCTTATCGAACGAAACAAAGAGTCTATCATTCAGAGTCTCTCTCTCTCTCTCTCTCTCTCTCTCTCTCTCTCTCTCTCTCTCTCTCTCCCTCTCTATCTCTTTTATTGCTCAT